ATAGAATCATTAAGGTTGGAAAAGACCTCTAAGATCATCGAGTCCAACCATCAACCCAACACCACCATGCCCACTAAACCATGTCCCTAAGCGCCTCATCTACACGTCTTTTAAATACTTCCAGGGACGGTGACCCAACCACTTCCCCGGGCAGCCTGGTCCAAGGCCTGACCACTCTTTCAGTAAAGACATTTTTCCATCTAGGTCCAATCTAAACCTCCCTTGGCGCAACTTGAGGCCATTTCCTCTCATCCTTTTGAGAGGTGTACACGAAGTAAATCCAATATGACTTAGTAAAGAGCTGGCATCTTCCCCCGCCAAAATGCTAGTGCCTTTGGCAATGCAACCTTTTAGCCGCACATAGTGATACCAAGATTGCTCACGGCCCCTCGCTGCGGAGCCTGGCAGGCACAAACCGGCGGGCACTGCACGGAGCATTGGTGCTACTCACCGTGGCTAGATGTTTTAAAGCACGTGCAATGCTATGCTGTGCTGCTAGGAAGGCAGGCACACTCTCCAGTCCAGGACATTTGCCATGTAGCAGGGATCCCTGCAACTACTCTTCCCTCCTTTTTTCCTAGCGATGGCTATCTGCTTGCAAGAGCTGTTGTGTTGGAGTGGATTTCCCCCAAACCAAATAAGCTCCTAGCCCAGGAGCACATGCCGCAGAGGCGTCGCTGCATCCTTGCCTTGGCGTCGCTCTCTTCCCTGGGCACCCTCAGCTGGCACCTCCAGAGGCGGGACACAAGGTGGTGCAAACCTTTGGGACCGACCCAACATGCCCCCACCACACTTGGTCGGCAGCGTAATATTTCCTCTGGGCAGCGCGGCTTTCGGTTGTGTATATGGAGGTGACGCTAAGAAACCATTGCAATTGTGCTTAAACCTGCAGGAGAAAGCGCGGCTACTGGGTCTATCGCCGGCTGCCTGTACGGCTTGGTTTACGGCCTGAGCAAGGTTCCCAAAGGCTTGTACCAGGACCTGGAACAAAAGGAAAGGCTCGAGTACTTGGGCGAGAATCTTTACCGACTATCCATGGAGGAAAAGTAAAGCGGTTTCTGCCATTTTCTCTTTCTATAAAGACTATATCAAACCCTGTAGATAACTGACTGACGTTCATAGCGAAGAAATTAGCCAAGAGTTAGTCTGAAAGGCTGTATGTAGATCGTGTGCAAACGAAGATAGCTGAATTATTCAAGACTGATATAGATATTTACGGTCTTTGTGGGTTTTTTTTACAGATGTAGGGATTTCTGAGTATAAAGATTGCTGCTGAAACCAGTGAGATAATCTCAAATGGAAAAAAATAAATAAAACCTCTTTTGATTTATTTCAGTCTAACTTGCTATAATACCACTTCCTAAACAGCTGTGACCAGTAATTACACATACAAAATTAATTTTCAGAACTAATGCTTTCCTGCAAAACTAATGGTAGTACCTACTTACGGGGATATTCTCTGTATATTTGACAATCCTTTCACCACTGCTGTTCCTCCTTGTTCACAAATCTAATGTGTCTCTGACACTTGTAAACCTAATGTCTCATGGATTAGCTTTTAATGAACAGCTGAACCCTGCATCAGCACTGTGGTGCAAGGTGTTGTTACATTAGAAGTTTCCAGAAAAGGAAAAGCCAACACTAAAAATACCACCAAGGAACAGCAAAGCATCAGTGTGTCTAAAATTTCTGAATTACGCTTTTATCATTCTTCAGTCTTCAGAACAAAAGTTTTTTTAAAATATAACGGGCTAAAATATTTGTAAATAAATTAGTCTTACACTATTTTCTAAGCATCATTCTTTATTTTTAGATTGAGCAGATTATATGTTGCTGTATCAGTATCAGAATTTTTGGCTGAGGACTTCAAGCAGTTGTAATAGGTCAGCAGTCAGGCTGTGATACATTACACAAGTCTGAGCACCACAGAAACCTCAGGAAGAAAACAGTTACAACTGCTTTATCTTTTTCCTTTTTCCTATTTCCCTTTTCCCTTTTTTCCTTTTCCCTTTTTTCCCTTTTTTCCTTTTTCCCCTTGCCTTGCCTTGCCTTGCTTTGCCTCGTCTCGTCTCATCTCTCCTCCTACTTCTTTAACTTCTTCTTTACTTTTTCCTTTTCCTTTTTCTTTTCCTTTTCCTTTTTCTTTTTTCTTCTTCTTTTTCTTTTTCCTTTTTTATTATTATTTTTATTTCTTTCCCTTTCCCTTTCCCTTTCCCTTTCCCTTTCCCTTTTCCTTTTTTTTTCTTTTTTATTTTTTTATTTTTTTAAAAATTATTTTTCAAGAAAACCAACAAACTATGATACAGTTAAAAGTTGCATACAGCAGACAAAGTAAACAGTAGACCCTGGTGAAGCAGATTCTGATGGCCCCACAGCAGCACGGGCACAAATCTGGAATCCTCAATGGAATGACACAGAAGAAGTGAGCGCAGAATTTGTCCCCAGTGTTTAACCTTATGTTTTACCTCAGAAGGTCAGAAACTGAAGTCTAATTAACACTTTCTAACCTCCACCATGAGTGATTGCCTACAGGGCATTGGTTTCTCCTATCTTTCTCCAGCTGCTGAACTGTGTTTTAAAAAGATAGCTAAAAATACCTAAGTACTTTCCTACCCCTTTTTCCATGTAAGCAATTGCTGGAATCATCACTGGGATGTTATGTGGCACAAAGAGGATCAGGTGATCCCTGTCATTTTGAATAGCAGCCTGAATGACAATATCCGTATGAAAAGGTTTTTCGTACTATGAGCTACTTCACACGCTGTTGTTTTAGCATGTTTTCTCTTGGCAGCTTTGCAGGGTGCTTTCTTGTTTGCTTTGGAGATACGTTAAACGAAAAGGAGCATTTATGTCAGTAGCTTTTGATTTAAGAGCATACCAAGACTTTCTGAAAACATTCCTTCTAGTTTAGGATGCCTCTAGCATACCTGTAATAAACTCAGCAATAGAGAAGAGAGAAGAACATAACCTGCATAAGGTAGGATTTTCTCTAGTACTTTGGCTTTTCCTCTTTCTTTAGAAAAAAAAAATCACGAAAAAATGAAAAGCATTCATAACCGTTCCCATTTTACCTTCTAGCCAGGCTGGGGAGGACCAAGTTTTGTTTCAGAGACAAATAAGATAATCTAACTTAAAAGGCTGTTCCCAAAGACTGAACTTGTAAAGCACCATTTCTGCAGCTGTTGAGGCGAGCGGCATGTGGGCCATCGTTTCACTGACAACATTAAAAAGGCCTGTGCGTTGGTCCGAGCAGGCAGAGCTGCTGCCGGTTGCCTTCCTTTTCTACGGGCAGCTCCTTGAACCAAACACCACCCAGAGCGGATAGCCACGGGGATGCCCGGGGTCGAGGGGGCCTACGGGATGCAGCATCTTGTGTGCTCCTGCTCGTGGCCATTTCCCCAGAGCCAACCCACAGCGAGTCAGAGCAATCCATCGATCTCTGGCAGCTTCTGCGAGTTGGACGGTGTTTTCCAATTTTTTTCCTGTCTTTTGATGAAGTCTCCGTAGTGCTGCCTCCTCCAGCCCATGCCCTGTCCCGAGCGCTGCCCCCGCAGCAGCCGGTCCTTCGGGTTGCCAGGCTGTGCAAAATGGTGGTCGGATATTTAACATGTAATTCAGGGTCAAGAATCAGGGCCTTCTCTTCTCCACACCAGAGACAGTAAACCAGAAACTCCTTCAGCCATATGCTTTTAGCAAATGCCACGGGATGCCACCACCCCCTGCTACGCAGCAGCCTCCGGACCCCTGACAGAGTGGAGAGGAAGGAGTGCGTTGGTGCAGGAGGGTGCGGGCAGGGCTGGGGGAGAGCGCCGGCTCCTCTCCCTCTGCCGCGGCACGTCGGCTTTCCTCCGCTCCGCAACACGGCGGTGTCCGCTGCAGAGGTTGCCCTGGGACCGGCCAGCTAGCAGGATAGGGTTCCACCGCCGCCCGTTAGCATATCAGGCTGTTGCCACTGTGATGCTGTCATGATAAGTGTCACCGAAGAACCTATAAATAAGTAAGTTGCCTGTCTCATGCATCTTAATTATTCGTGGGCCAAGAAGACAGGAAACTTTTGAAGGTGGCCTTGCCTCCTGTGGAGGTCCAAGCAGTCTGTCCTCCAGACACTGAAAACGATGCAGCAGCGCTTCCAGAACCCAGCAGCACGCCAAGGCAGCACCATGCACATTAAAAACAGTGAAAACCGGCGTCTCCAGGGGAGGAGAGGGGCAAGGAGGCCAAAGTCCATGTTAGGCCATTTCACAGCATCAGGGAGGAGCCCAAGTATCTGCCTTGTCATCCGGTGTAACTCACACTGCTGGGAAGTGACTTCTGCTGGCGTGGGGTTCCCCCTGTGCACGGGGGGTACCTGCCCGGTTCCTCCCGGCCATAGGTGGGCCTAGAGTTGACTATCTGTAGTTGATAGAGAGGTGACTATATTTCATTGATAGGTCACATAGTTTAAGAACAGCAGGATGCAACTTGGGAAAAGGTGGTGAAGAAATATTAGGGATGATGTCTTGGCCTGTTGAAAATGGTGGTCATGGTCCCAAAGCTGAGAAACCCTCCACCTTTGCCCTCCTTCTCCAAGGTGAAAGCATGGTGTTTTCCAAACACTGGGACAACGCAGTCTCATCACTACCCACATTTTCTGTGGTGGTCTCAGAATTTAGTGCCATTGTACCACAGCCCTTGCAGAGAATGCATTTCAGATTTACACAGTTGTGATGCTGGTTTGCAGGTGCGGTCATTTTGGAAGAACTGCAGATGCCCTAAAAAGGTGCCATAGCTGTTGGCTCATCTGCTGCTGCTTGCTGATGAATACAGATCAAGCACCCAACCCATGCAACATGTCTTGGTACTTAAGACAATGCAGTATTCCCACAAATGCTACATTTCAGAAGGCATCCTATAAGAATGCTCTAACATATATTTTACCAAGAGCATAAAAGGAATATACTAGTAATATATCTTAATGAAGCTGTTCGAATTTTATAGCTCCGAAGTGATCAATTACCTTGAATGCTCATAGTAGAGAGGGTCTGATCTTCTTCACTTCACAATCAATAGTAGTTTGGCTGTGCTGACCTCACTGAAAGCAGGACTAGTTCGTATTTTACTGTGGCCATTTATTGTATCCAAAGTAGTCTGGAAGGGAGAGGTAAGCAGGGCGGGTGGTTCCACTGCTGTTCTGAGAGATCAGCAACGACTCTAAATCATGCTGGTTGATGGCCCTACCTGTGTTTCTGAATATACCAGGCACTTCTTAGGGAGGAGAGGAGCGATCTTCTGCCATGGCAAGGTTTCAGTCAAAATATCAGCAGACTGGCTATAGGAGGGAGAGTGAACCAGGATATTTTTAGCCTCAATTATACCCTGAATTCTGTTTTCTTTCTTTATTCTGAAAATTCCCATAGTTGTGACGAACAGGGATCTTGGTGTAACACGGGAGGCTTGCTTCCTTGGCTGTGGTCAATTCAGTAAGGGAAAGGGTAGATGTTACCACATTGTGCACGTGGGAGCATGCACCTGTGCTATGCTGAAATGTGGTTATTCCCAATCAAAACCTACGAAGTATTGTTTGTCACATTAGACATGGGCCAGTTGTCACACTTTTTTCTTTTATTGGCCTTTAAAAATATCTACAAAGTCATTATAAATAGACCTCCTTCCATTCAAGATGGCAACTTCATCCCACTGCTGAGGGATGTAATTTTCAATATGTGCACTTGAAATGCAGCCAAGTGGAATCCAAATGTCACTACCCGACCATACGAGGACCAGCCCCGCACTTTGCAAACAGCACCCGTAATATCGCAGTGGGGGGCCGGGTCCAATTTCTTTCAGAGTCCGTGGTGTACCAGCTGCTGGGCCTTCCCCAATCTTTCGAGGCTGACACTCCCTGAAGGATGAGCCTCTTTGCAGCCTTTCTTCATTTTCTACATGTGGGCTTAATTTAAAGAATTTTTTATTCCACTTCTGCTCATAAAAAGTAATCCTCTCCTGGTATGCAGGCTGCATTCTGTGCATGAAGCTATTTCACTGGACGGTGAAGTAACCTTCCAGCTTTTCACAGTGTCAGAAAGCTGACACCTCTTGGTTTTTTCACTCGTAGCCCCATCTATTGTTATTGACTTCACACTCCAGCTTTTGTGCTGAGTTCAGTATTTTATTTAGCAACTGATCCACACCAATTAAAGCATTGCCTAAATCCCCAGCTGTCCAAGGGCCTGATTCCTCAAACTCAAGTGTAGGTCCAAAGTACCAGCCTTCTTGTTCCAGTTTAAAGGGGGTTGTAGTTAAGGGTCATTGCCAGGGTTGTTGTGG